CCCTTTGGAGAGGGCATTGACAGTCTCTACAAAAGCAACAGGGCATCTAGACAACATTGCTGCTGGTTATGTCAGAATGATGGATGCAAGTGAGAAGGTCATGCAGCTAGTGGCACAACAGGAACTGGTTGGGACATCTGTAAAAGCTGCAAAGCTAGGCGATTGGAGTGAAGAAAAAGCTCCTAAAATCGAACTCAAACAGCTCCCTGCAGGTCTAAGGTATGCTTTTCTGGGACCTAACTCTATATATCCTGTTATAGTTAGTGCTACCTTAAACAATGCACAGCTCACTTTATTGCTAAGAAAGCTGCGCACATTTCGCAAAGCTCTTGGCTATTCTCTTGATGACATTTCAGGTATCTCTCCAGACTTGTGCATGCACAGGATACACCTTGAGGATGAGTCAAAGTCGTCAATTGAGAAGTAGAGGAGGCTGAATCCAAACTTGCAGGATGTAGCAAAGAAGGAAATCATGAAGCTTCTGGCTGCTGGGATCATTTATCCGATTTCAGACAGCACTTGGGTCAGTCTAGTGCATGTGGTTCCCAAGAAAGGAGGGGTCACAGTGGTGAAAAATAAAAAGAATGAGCTGTTCCCCACAAGGACCATCACTGGGCACATGATGTGTATTGACTACAGAAAGCTCAACGCTGCAACAAGGAAGGATCACTTCCTATTGCCATTCATTGATCAGATGCTAGAGAGGTTAGCGAATCACTCCTACTACTGCTTCCTGGATGGCTACTATGGCTTCATTCAGATCCCCATTCACCCGATGACCAGGAGAAGACCACATTTACTTGTCCTTATGGTACATTTGCCTATCGCAGAATGCCATTTGGACTGTGTAATGCTCCTGCGACATTCCAGAGGTATATGCTGTCCATTTTCACAGACATGATTGAGAAGTATATGGAGGTCTTCATGGATGACTTCTCAGTGTATGGATCCTCCTTTAAGGACTGCCTTGACAACCTCTATCAAGTGCTTGCAAGGTGTGAAGAGAAGCATCTAGTTCTGAACTGGGAGAAATACCATTTTATAGTCAGAGATGGGATTGTACTTGGGCATAGAGTTTCTGGTGAAGGCGTTGAAGTGGACAAGGCAAAAATCAAAGTTATGATAAGTCTGCAGCCACCAGATTGTGTGAAGTCAGTAAAGAGCTTTCTAGGACATGCTGGATTCTACAGAAGGTTCATTAAAGATTTCAGTAAGATTGAAAGACCACTCATAGCTCTGCTTTGCAAGGATGTGAAGTTTGAATTTACTGAAGAGTGTCATTCAGCCTTCTAGCAAATCAAACAGTCCTTAGTGAGTGCCCCCATTGTGCAGCCTCCTGATTGGGATCTACCATTTGAGGTGATGTGTGATGCTTCAGACTTTGCAGTGGGTGCTGTATTGGGTCAGAGGAAGGAGAAGAAGCTTCATGCAATCTACTATGCAAGCAGAACCCTGGATGATGCTCAGAAGAATTATGCAACTACAAAGAAGGAATTGTTGGCTGTAGTATTTGCAGTTGAGAAGTTCAGACAGTACTTGGTTGGAGCTAAAGTAATTGTGCACACTGATCATTCTGCTATCAAGTTCTTGATGCAGAAGAATGATGCAAAACCAAGACTGCTAAGATGGATTTTGCTGCTACAAGAATTTGACATTGAGATAAAGGACAAGAAAGGGGTTGAGAATGGAGTAGCAGATCATCTCTCAAGAATCAGGATTGAAGACAGCGTCCCCATTGATGATTTCCTGCCAGAGGAGAATATATATCTTATTGAGGCAAGGCTGCAGTCTTCAGATGTGGAAGAGTTGCAGTATTTTCGAACTGCTATCGATCGACACCAACGATGAAGCGGACCAATATCGACCAGGATTGACAACAGGCTCGTCACCAAGTCGACACAGACTTGGTGTCGATCGACACACCCCATCTAGTGTCGATCGACACCAGTCCCGAACTGCAATTCTGCTTCACCAGATCCTGCGTGATGTTTTCTCCCAGCCTATCTTCACAGTTGCAACCTCTTCTACGCCTTGGTATGCTGATATTGCCAACTACCTAGCTGCAGATGAGGTCTCTGACACTCTCAAAGGATATGAGAAGAAGAAATTCATGAAAGAGCTAAGGAGATATTATTGGGATGAGCCTTACTTGTACAAGTACTGTTCAGATGGAATCTGAGAACATGTGTCGAAAGTAGAGATGACAATTGCAGCTACCAATCTTCAATCACCGGTAGCCACCGCCAGTGCCTTTCGCCGCCTGAAACCTCACCAATCACAAAGCTGCTGCCAAAGACCTATGTTCCTTCCTGATACTCTGAATATTGTGTTGTATTAATCTCTTAAACATACACAATATTTATACACATAATTGAATCTTATCTCTAGTTTTATTTGGACTTATCTTATTCCTAATACATCTTTATCCTATACTGACAAGGCTTATCACAATATATTCTCTAATACTCCCTTTCAAGTTGGAGTGTAGAGATTAAGAACACCCAAATTAGATAACAAATGATCAAACTGAGGCTTGCCGAGGGCTTTAGTAAGTATATCGGTTATCCATTTGATTTCTCTTGTAGCAGTAGCCATCACTTTGTATTATGCTTCAGCGGAAGAGTGAGAGACAATATCATGCTTCTTTGTTTTCCACGAAATGGGAGAGCCGCCAAGTAAAATAACATATGAACTTAGGGAGTGGTGTGTCAAAGGACATGACGCCCAATCTGAATCACAATATATCTGCAGGCATAGATCACGACCAGCTGATAACAAAATTCTTTGTCCTCTAACGCCTTTCAAATATTGAACCACTGGCAAAGCTGCCTCCCAATGAGCAACTCGCGGGGCCTTCATAAATTGTGACAATAAATGGACTGCATAGCTTTGCTCCGGATGCGTAGTAACAAAGTAAACCAGATGTCCCACAAGACGATGGTGTGTACTAGGTTCTGGTAAAACAGGGCCATCATCAAAAGCTAGTTTATGGTTTTGTTCAATCGGATTCATTGCAGGTTTACATCCTAGGAGACCTGTCTCAGCCACAATATCTAAGGCATATTTCTGTTGAGTAAGAAAAATCTCTTCCTTAGAGCGTGCCACTTCAATGCCTAAGAAATACTTTAACTTGCCAAGGTTCTTCATTTTAAAACATTCTGAAAGATATATCTTAAACTTTTCCAGAGCAGCGCCATCGTTGCCACAAATCACTAAGTCATCCACATAAACCAAAACACGCAACTCAATCTCTCCTGACGTGTAAATGAACAAGGAGTAGTCGAAATATGATTCTATAAAACCAAATTTTAGAAGGGCATCCATTAACTTTTGGAACTAACATCGTGGTGCTTGACGGAAACCGTATGAAGACTTTCTGAGATGACAAACCTTTGTGGGGTTGGAATGCGTAAAACCGGGTGGCAATTTCATATGAACTTTTCCTCAAGGTCTCAATGCATTGTGAATGTCCATTTGGTGCACTCCCCACCCTTTGGATGCGACTAACTTAAGTAGACTTCAAACTGTGGCCATCTTAGCGACGAGAGTGAAGGTTTCATCGAAATCCTCCCCTTTGATTTGTTATTTCCCAACACGACTAGTCTTGCCTTGTGTTGTTCTAAAGTACTGCCAGCGTTAAACTTCAAACGGAAAACCCATTTGCAACCGAGAGCGACTTTGCCTTGTGAGAGAGATGCAATGTCCCACGTGTGTTGATCCTCTAGAGCGACAACCTCATTCTTCACTGCACCTTGCCATTCCTGAAATTTAACTGCTTTGGCGGAAGAGTGTGGTTCTGTTTGAGCTGTAACAGCCGCCAAGAAAGCTCTATGCGACTTGGAGAAAAGCATATCAGAGATGTAATTCACTAAAAGATACAAAGTGGTACCTTGGACTATTTTGGAGGGCTCTGATATTGAGGAGTGTTGAGCGAGATGTGGTTTAGTAGAGCAGAGAGCACTGTAGATGACGTAATCTTTAAATTAAAGCGGCATATTTTTGTCTAGCAAACCTTTGCCTAATTCATCGATGGGAACAGTGACGGTAATATCCGATGGATTTTCAGAGTATAATCCAGATGGAGTAAGCGGGGTCAAAATAGTCCTATAAAACACATAATGTATCTGTTAGTGAAGCATGACAGTTTGACATACCACACTTTCCTTAGCTTTGACATTGGTGACAGCACCCTTTTGTCTCCAGTCAAACGGTCCATTATCTCGTAAATGAACTGATTATTGGAACCGCCTTTCGTATTGTCATCCTTCATATGCTCTACAAGAATGGGTCCTGAGTATTACTAAAAACATTTGAATATGGTTTCTGAATCTTTTAAGAAAAAAATCAGTTTTCCAAATTTTGGTTTTTTTGTTGTTGTATTATTTTGGGTCTCAAGTTTTGGATTTTGTATTTGACCCCAAATATATAGTGTGAATATATCTCGACGAAAGAAACAACAGATTCGAAAATTGAAATATTCCAAACTCAATCGTCAGTTTCTCATCGTTATTTTTTAAAAAATTGGGATTCTAATATCTAAATTATAGGTAGCCGAATACATATGAAGAAAATGATATGAGAAAAAGCTAAAAAAATCAGAATTGTAATCTTAAGAGAAAACAGGCACGATAAATCCTAATCATCTGATGGGTGGATTCTTCATTTTTATGTTTGCAATTTTTGTCATCATTTTTATGTGCTTGAACTAAACTAAGTTTTTTGGATTAAAAATTAAGTTTCTATATTTTAAATTAAACATCAAATTGATTGGTCAAAACTCTGAAAAGAAATGTAAGTAAGAGTAAATTATAAATAATATATAGTTATGATTTATATAATTATTACTACATATTTAGAAAATATATTATATACATAAAAAATATTTAGGATTTGTTACTATACAAATTTGTATTTACTACCATAACAAAATTTAAATAGATAGTAAACATAATTACTATATCGGAAATATTTTATATATATGAAATTATACAGATTTGTATTTATTATTTGGGATTTTGAGTGATCTTTCTTTTATTGTAATATATCCAACTATTTTGAATCATCACCACACCACGTGACAAGCCTTAAGACAAAAGGAGAAAAGATGAAAGAGGAGATAGGGTATTTATGTGGTGGTTGGGGTCCTGTCAGAGACATTAAGGACCCTCACGTTGAGTTCATCGCCAAGTTTGCCATCTCCGAGCACAACAAACAGAACAACTCGGGACTCAGGTTTCAGAAGGTTGTTTCTGGCGACATGCAGTCTGCCATGGGCATAAATTACCGGTTGGTGTTTGATGTCAGTGATGGAGACGATGGAGGTAGCAAGACCTACGAAGCACAGGTATACCAGGCTTGGCTCGATTCCAGGGAGCTTGCTTACTTTGAACCTGTCAATTAATCAATGCTCGCTCTCATAATTCTTACTTACAATCATTGTCTAGTGCTTATTAAAATAGCAAGAACAATATGAATAAATAAGAGTGTTTTTCTTTTTTCATCGACTCTTATATTTTATTTTATTTTGAGTGTTTTTGAGTTTCATGGGAGCTTGCGTGATGCAGTTTTTGTACTCTTTATGCTCGCGATACGAGCTCTAATGATTGGGCCCAAAATCCCCAATACATTAATTTTGAAAAATATTTTTAGAGAAAAAATTTAATTTTTTAAATTATTTACAATAATGTTATTTTATTGATATATCATTACCAGAATTATTTTCAACAAATATATAAAAATAAACTTATATTACTAAATTAACTAGTGTATGATCTGCGTTACATACAGAATTTTACACTAATATTAAAAGAAATTATATAAAATATTATATTATTTAGGTTATCATATTTTTATATTGGATTCATAAATAATATTTAATATTTCCTCTATTTCATAATATAAATTAGTTTGGATATATTATTTTGTTTCACAATATAAGTTGTTTACACATGTTAATATTACTTTTAGCTTTATTGAATATTGTGTGCCCAATTATATCATACAGTTTATTATAATTTAAACATAAAAATACTTTTCTTAATATTTGTGTAAATACCTTAAACAATTTCTATATTGAAGCAGAGAGAATATCAAAATTTAAATATACATATTTAAAAATAAAATTTAAATAGTTATATATTTAATATTCATCTCATTTGATAATTTTAGATATTAAAAAATTATATTAAATATTATATTTACATTTTTCTATTTTTAAATTTGACTCGAATATTTTTTCATACAACATTAGTTTTTCTTCATGAACGGCTAATGTTTTAAAATATATTTTGCATAATATTAGTTTTTTTTATAAAAGTTTCATATGATTAATGTTAATTCAAGATGCACAAATCTCTCTTTCTCTCATAAATGTAACATACAAAAAAATTTGACGTAATTTTAATATAACCTTTGTCATCTTTTCTATAATTCTTTTTTTTTCTCAACCTTTTGAACGTGTTTTCTTTAATGTAAGAGTTGTCGGATTTTTATAAAACTGTCTATTTTCTATTCGAAGATTGTATTGAATATGCTCTCTAAAATTTGAAATCTCATTCGCTTAGACATTGAATTCTAACCATGAAAATATATATTTTTAATTCTTTCTTATAACTTAAGACATTAGCTTAATCTTTGTTATCTTCTCTATAATTCTTTTTCTCATCGACCTTCTCTCTCTCTTTCTCTCTCTCTCTCTCTCTCTCTCTCTCTCTCTCTCTCTCCCTCTCTCTCTCTCTCTCTCTCTCTCTCTCACTCTCTCTCTCTCTCTCTCTTTCTCTCTCTCTCTCTATGTTCTTTAGTGTAAGTGTTGTATTCAAAACTTTATCCATTTTCTATTCGAAAATTATGTTTATCATGCTTTCTAAAGTCCGTTCACTTAGATATTGAATTCTAACCATAAAAATGTATATATATATATATATATATTTTTCCTTATAACATATATAAGTTTATAGCATATTTATAAATATTTTTTTTTAACAAGAAAAAAATCAATTTTTTTCTCTAACTATAAATATGATATAACTACTATTATTAAATGAGACTCTTGCAAAGATGACCTAAATTTTGATTTGAAATGCAAATCTAACCCACAAAAATCACCTTCCTAACATTTGCAATTTTGTGTCCAAACAATCCTTCATAGTTTCAGTTATTCACGAAATTACTATTGTTTTTAATTAATTTCTTTTATTTTCAGAAATCCAAATGACCAACTAATCCTCATCTTTCTCACTTATTTACGAAAATGCCATCATCATCAATTCACCCAACCACCATTTTCAACCAATTTTGAAGCTTTAATGGCACCAAAAACCCATTTTTGAGTTTGTTTAGCTTATTATTTTCTCTTTAAGCTTCTATTCTTCTATTTTCTTCCCAAAAACTCTATAATTTGTCTATTAAAACGTTGAAATTCATATATATTTCTATATTCCAGCGAGTTGGTTGTTTTTTGCGGTTGTGCTTCTTTCGTTGTGGCTAGGATCGAAAATCTTGACCAGAAAAGAAGCTAAAGACGAGTGGTAAGTCGGATTTTCAGTTAATTTTAGTGATTTTCAGTTCTGGGCTCTGAAAGTAGACTTTTCTCGGTCCGAATGAAGTTTACTAGTCATAAAAATGTATATAACTTTTTTTATTTTTTCCGTATAACATATATAAGTTTATCGCATATTTATAAATATTTTTTGTTAACAAGAAAAAAATCAATTTTTTTTCTAACTATAAATATGATATAACTACGATTATTAAATGGGATTCTTGCAAAAATGATCTAAAATTTGATTTAAAATGCAAATCTAACCCACTAAAATCACTTTCCCAACATTTGCCATTTTGTGTCCAAACAATCCTTCATAGTTTCAGTTATTCACAAATTGCCATTGTTTTTAATTAATTTTTTTTTATTTTCAGAAATCCAAATGACCAACTAATCTTCATTTTCCTCACTTATTTACGAAAACACAATCATCATCAATTCATCCAACCATCATTTTCAACCAATTTTGAAGCTTTAATGGCACCAAAAACCCATTTTTGAGTTTGTTTAGCTCATTATTTTCTCTTTGAGCTTCTATTCTTCTATTTTCTCTCTATTTTCTTCTCAAAAACTCTATAATTTGTCTATTAAAAAGTTGAAGTTCATATATATTTCTATATTCCAGCGAGTTGGTTGTTTTTTGTTGTTGTGCTTCTTTCATTGTGGCTAGGATCGAAGATCTTGACCAGAAAAGAAGCTAAAGACGAGTGGTAAGTCAGTTTTTCAGTTAATTTTAGTGATTTTCAGTTCTGGGCTACGAAAGTAGTCTTCTCTTGGTCCAAATGAAGTCTACTAGTCAACGCCCAGGTTAGTTTTGCAATTGACCGCATGAAAAAGTAGACTTCTTTTGGTCCAAATGAAGTCTACTCTATTTCCTTTGATAACAAAAAAATGGAGCAGACTTCTCGAGTATACTTCTTTAGAAGCATATCATTTTTGCAATTGACCAACCTTTGACTTTGTAGAGTAGATTTCTCTATGCAAAGTAGACTTCTCGGGAAAGTCTACTTTCGTAAGTAGACTTCTCGCAGGTCATTTTTGCAATTGAAAATTATTTGACTTTTTGGTCAACTGCAAAAATGACCTGCGAGAAGTCTACCTACGAAAGTAGACTTCCCCGAGAAGTTTACTGTGACCTGCGAGAAGTCTACTTACGAAAGTAGATTTCTCCGAGAAGTCTACTTTTCATAGAGAAGTCTACTAATTATTTGGCAATTGCAAAACTAACCTGCAAGAAGTCTACTTTTATCCGAGAAGTTTACTTTTCTTATTTTTTTTTAAATTCATTTTTATATAATATATAACGAATTTTAAGATTTTTGTGATCCTAAGCTTCTGTTATTAAATTTTCTTGCTTATATATAAGTTTTACATGTTTATATTTTATAGGTATAGTCGAATCAGTTTTCATGTTTTATATGATACTTAGCTTATTAAGAGTAAACTTCTTAGTCTACTCTAGAAGTCTACTAAGTAGACTTCATCCGACTTTCAGAGAAGTCTACTTATTCAATTTTGATGTCTAATGTGGTTTGGATTTTGTTCTTTTTTCACAAAGAATAGTTCACATACCCACTGTTTATGGACAATGGTTTAAGAGTGAATCACTGTGGCAGTTCAAGGTGGATAATAGCAAAGGAGGGCGAATGTTGTTCTTAAGAGATGGTTGTGCACATGGTGAGCTTCTTGGTGAATGTTGGCAAAGGAGGGCGAATGTTGTCACCTTTAAGTTATGTAAAATTAATGTCTTTAAGAAGTCTACTCGAGACATGAGAAGTCTACTTCAGAAGTCTACCCGAGACAAGAGAAGTCTACTCGGTTGACAAGTTATGTGATATAAATGGGAGAAATGTCCCTCTGAGTCACTTTTAAGTTATATAAAATTGATGTCTTTTAGAAGTCTACTCGAGATAGGAGAAGTCTACTGGAGACAAGAGAAGTCTACTCGGCTGACAAGTTATGTGATAAAAATGGGAGAAATGTCCCTCTGAATCAATTTTAAGTTATGTAAAATTAATGTCTTTAAGAAGTCTACTAGAGACAGGAGAAGTATATTTTGTAGAATACATAAACATAGATAATTTAGGAATTTGATACAAAACATTCAATGCAATTCAACATTACATAGAAAATAACCCTCTAAACAAACAAACATTTAAGGATCACTGATTATAAATCTTAAAATTGGCATAAGAAATTACTACTAAACTAAAATCTCTGAAAACTATGTATGCAACTGAAGTTTGCTTGAGAAGTCTGCTCGAGATCGAGAAGTCTACTCGAGAAGTCTACTCGGGAAGTCTACTCGAGAAATCTAAACTTTTTGAACCTTCAAATCACTTAAATCCGGCGGAGACAAGCAAGAGCTTTGCTGAGATCTGTAGAACAAAACCATAAATATAAATAAGATCAGATCTGCAACAATAAGAAAAGAGAAATGTTAAAATTTAGATTTGCAACATAATCTATTATATTTATAACATTCAGATCTGCTAAAAAATTAATAAATTCAGCTCTGCAATAATAACAAAAAATTTAGATCTGCAACAAAATTCAGATCTACAACAAAACCTACAAAATTTATACAACAATAAACTCAGATCTACAAATATAAACTTAGATCTACAACAATAAGCTCAATTCTAATATAATAAGCTCAGTTTTGCAATGTGAACACAAAGCAAACAAAAAGAGGAACAGAAAATCTCAGATTTGCTTACCACTACCATAACCTGCAAATGAGAGGAGGTTGAATGCAAGATAGAGAGGATAGAGAGGATATTGATAGCAAGAGAGGAAGGAGAAGAAATTCATGGCCAGAGAAAAGGGAGAAGAGAAAGGGGCGTTTTTAGATAGAGAAAGACTTTATTGTTAATACAATTAGGTTAAACTCTCCTTATATATGTAGAAAAAAATTCGTTTAAGTATACTTCTCCAAGAAGTCTACTCGAGAAATCTCTTAGTATTGATTTTTATCCTAATTTATCTATGATGATTTAAATTGATTATTTTGTGTCAAATTTTATTTTTAATGGGTGTAAAAAGTATATATTTGTGTTACGTATTTAATTTTTTTATCAAATTTTTTTTATTATTATTAAAATTAATTATAAACATATAGAGTAAACATCTCTGGGATAAAACAGTAATTGAAGCTGGCATTTTTTTTGGTCATAAGGGTTAAGGTTGTAATTTCACTACCCTCGTAAGTTATTTTTGTCAAACATGCAATAGGGGGTCTAGTTTTGCATTTCAACTGAAGTTTTGAGTCATATTCAGCAATTCTCCCTTATTAAATTAAATTTCTTTAGATCAATATATAACTTAGTTTTTTATGATTAAATGATTTTTCATATTCTATTTAAATTTTATTACACTAATAAAAATATTTGATGACGTGTCACCATTTGGAGATAGGAGTAGATGAGGTGGCAGCCTACGAAGAGAGCAACTTTTACTTTATATATATATATATATATTACATATACTACCACTCACATTAATTTCATTATACAATAGTTTATATCAATTATTTATACATATATTTGCAGTTAATTTACTAAGATACTCTCTTTCTTATTATTTATTACCAAAACCTATTTTATAAATTATTTTTTAATTATATTTTCTGCCAAAAAAGTTTTATTTCTCTTATTTTAATTTAAGATTATTTTTGTAACATAAATAAATTATCACACCATCCATATAGTTAAAACAACATATATATTTATTTATATATGTGTTATAATTTACATTATTTTAAAATAAATATAAATTACTTAAATTGTTAATATATAAAAGTAGGTTTTAAAAATCTTACATTAGAAATATGTATATATAGATCAATAGATAGTTCATAAATCATTATAAAAAAATATAAATGCTAAATAAAGATTTTATAAGTAGAAAGCTTGATTTAATTTACATCCATATTAATGTATTTTGGTTTAATATGGTTTTTAATAGAACTATATAAATTAACTAAATAATATAAATACGTAAATTGAAAAAAAGTTTAAAATATTATATCAAAAATTAAAAATAAAAGAAATAATTAAATATATTCAAAAATAATATTTTGAAAATTTTAGTTTGATTAAGAAAGTGAAATATTATATAATTTTAATTTATGCAAACAAAAAAATATGGTTAAGAGGTTTACAAAAATTGTTAAGATATTATGTAATAATTTAATCAAACTTTTTGATATTAAAAATATTTTTATTGGATCAAAAATTTAATATTTTATAAACATTGACTTTGTTTTATATAATTTTAGATAACTTATTAATAATATTAAACTTAAAAAGTCTTTAATATTTTTTTATAAAATTCCTATGCATATTTAGTATTTAAGAATAAAATTTTAAATAATTTGTTTTTTTAATTGATATTTCTATAGCAGGTGTTTATGGATTAACTTAACTATACAATTACATTGTATAAAATAATATTAAAATCGATTATAAAACCGTATAATCAATTTAAATTTTTGCAGTTTCATTTAAAAAAAAACTTATTGTTATGATAATGCTTTAAGAATTAATTTATATTTTAATAAAAATATATATATTAATTCTTTTTTCTTTTTAATGTTGCTAAAATACATCTATTAAATTAATTTAATATATATAGTAACTATACAGCTAATTTAATCTGTAATAAATTTAGATCTAATTAGTTAATTAAAAGCAATTAATTAATTTATAGACTTTCCCAAAATTTAGTATGCAATAAATAAAATTTAATATTTATTATAATATAATTGTGAGCTAATTAGGAATTTATTAATAAGTTTAATTAAAATAAAATCTATTGCGTTTGATATATGTTAATAATACAAATAATTTAATTTATGATACACTCACTAATTTAATTTAGATATAAGTAATATTACTGAATATTAATCTATTAATGAGAATTTGTTTTGTTAATTTAGATATATATATTCAAACAAATTGGGTATAAATGGCAGTGACATTTTTTTCCAATAAGTTATCAATATTTAAAATTTATTTAGAGTAAAAACAATATATAAGATGGGCAGACTTATATTTTAACTTATATCATCGGTTTTATAAAAGCTAATCACAATAAATTTTATATATCACATCACTTTTTATATAATCAATAATAGCAAAAACACATCAAAACTCTAACCATATTTATTACATCTTAAATATAATATTTTGTTTTATTATGTATTCATTATAATTTCAACCTATAATTTATTATATATTCAATTATTCACATGCAAAATGAAATCATGTTTGTACCATATGAAAACTTTGACTGTATGAGTATTGGTGGTTCACTGACATAAATATTATGATGTGTATTTTAAAATTACAAATAATTGAATGGGAAACATATGATTTATAAATTTCACATGACAATATGATTTATGTTTTTTACTAGGTTGGTTTACACGGATCTTTAATTTCTAATTGTTATCGAATTCTATTTGATCTTCAAATTCTAGAAGTACAATTATTCAGATAGATGTACAAAACATTGTTCTATAATTATTTAAATATACTGAAATTATTACTAATATATAATATATTTTATAAATATATCAATGCCCATTGATAATATTCAAATGGTTCTGAAGACCAATCTATGCTTTTATATACATATTTAATAGTAAAATGTTATTATACTTTACATAATATTTTTTGATTAAATGTTTTTGGATTCAAGAACTGTTCTTTTCTTTTACAAAGAGCTTTATTTATATTAATTTATGGTTATAATTATTGTTTTCCAAATTAAAAATATAAAGATGTATCTTTTTTTTAATTCATTCAATATAGTAGATAAGTGACAAACAATTTAACTAATAATATTTAATTATTATTCAAGAATTAAAAGTAATTAAATATATACACAAATTTCTATACTAAAATCTTGGAGAATGTTAGAAATGCCAAATTATATCATCAATTACTAGATATAGAAAATCTGCATGGTAATTTTATATTTTTTATCCAGCTATATCATATGCTATGCTTGAAATTTAATTTTTAAATTAATCTATATAATAATTAAATTATTCTATGTTTCATAGAAAAATAAGAAAACTATATTATCAATATTATAGTATAATATTATATAAAACTCATATAAATTTAATTATATTAAATTATATAATTTTATAATTATTCATAATTTAAATAAATAATAATTATTTTACTGCGCACAAAATATGGGTTATTACCCAATATCATATTACTTTGTTTTTAGTGGGCCAAACCTTTTACGTTAGCAATAATCCGCAATATTATACCGAAGGCTTCTATCAATAAGCCTAAAATTTTAGTTTTTTCCGATTTATGGTTTGCTTAACAAACATGTGAGTAATGCCTTAGTATCTTGTAAAACATTGGTAAAAGTGTAAAAGTGGAAAAGTGATAATGTAAAACAATTTAAAAAAATCATGTGAATTGAATGGATGGATCATTTCTTTCCCTTTCTTCAATCTTAATTCAAACAAAAAAAACTAAAAAAAATAAAAATCCAAACTGTAAAAAAACAAAAACAAAAAGGATAGAGGTTGTACAATTTGTCATCCTTTTCTTAAGCACACTTTCCTTAGCTTTGACATCACTCTTTTGTCCATATTCTCGTAAATGAACTGATTATTGGAACCGGCTTTCATTGTCATCCTTTATATTCTACAAGAATGGGTCCTGAACACATAAATAAAAACATTTGAATAGGTTTTTTAAATCTTTTGGATTTTTTTCTTAAAGAAAAAAAATCAGTTTTTTAAATTTTGATTATTTTGTATGTATTACTCGGCTTTGAATATTGTATTTGACCCCAAATAGTGTGATAAACATTGAAACGATCTTGGTGAAAGAGACAACAGGTTTTAAATATTCTGAACTCAAAGATTCTGAACGTATTATGAAACCAAAGATTTGTTACACTATAAATTAATATATAGGATTTGTTAACTATTTAAGATTTGTTACACTATAAATTAATTTATAGGATTTATTACTATACAAATTTGTATTTTTTTTTCTGACAGCTAATTTATTACCATAACAAAATATAAATACAAAGTAAAGATCATTTCTCGTATATCGGAAATATTTTATATATATGAAATTATACAGATTTGTATTTATTATTTGTGATTTTGAGTGATCTTTCTTTTGTTGTAACATATCCAACTTTTTTGAATCATCACCACACCACGTGACAAGCCTTGCTTATATATAAATAACACAGACAACAAGGAAAAAATAAAAACACAAACGAAACAAAAATAAGAATTAAGACAAAAGGAGAAAAGATGAAAGAGGAGATAGGGTATTTATGTGGTGGTTGGGGTCCTGTCAGAGACATTAAGGACCCTCACGTTGAGTTCATCGCCAAGTTTGCCATCTCCGAGCACAACAAACAGAACAACTCGGGACTCAGGTTTCAGAAGGTTGTTTCCGGCGACATGCAGCCCGTCAGCGGCATGAATTACCGGTTGGTGTTCGATGTTAGTGATGGAGACGACGGAGGTAGCAAGACCTACGAAGCACAGGTATACCAGGCTTGTCTCGATTGCAGGGCGCTTGCTTACTTTAAACCCGTCAATTAATCAATGCTTGCCCTCACGATTCTTACTTACAATCATTGTCTGGTGCTTATTATAATAGCAAGAACAATATGAATAAATAAGAGTGTTTTTCTTTTTTCATCAACTCTTATATTTTTTATTTTATTTTTGAGTCTTTCTAAGTTTCATGGGAGCTTAAGTGATGCAGTTTTGGTACTCTCTATGCTCGCCGGTACGATCTTTAACGATCGGACCCAAAATATCCTATTACTTTGTTTTAGTGGGCCCAACCTTTTGCATGTGCAATATTATACCAAAGGAACCTAAAACCGATCTTATCCATTGAGTTTTGAACCAAAACTTTAGTTTTTTCGAGTTATGGTCTGTTTAACGAATATGTGAGTAGTGCCTTATTATCTTGTAAAGCATTGGTAAAAGTGGAAAAGTGATAATGTAAAACAATTTTGAAAAGTCATGTGAATTGAATGGATGGATCATTTGAGTCGCCGTTCTTTCCCTTTCTTCAATTTTAATTCAAACAAAAAAAAAATAAGGAAAATAAAATTTGAAACTGTGAAAAAAGCAAAAACAAAAAGGATAGAGCTAGGTTAAGTACAATTTGTCATCCTTTAGTTAAGCACATTTTCCTTAGTTTTGACATCACTTTTTTGTCCATATTCTCGTAAATGAACTGATTATAGGAACCGGCTTTCATATTGTCATCCTTCATACGCTACAAAAATGGATCCTGAGCATATAAATAAAAACATTTGAATAGGATTTTTGAATCTTTTAGATTTTTTTTCTTAAAGAAAAAGAAATCAGTTTTTAAATTTTGATTTATTTTTGTATGTATTAGTCGGCCTTGAATTTTGTATTCGACCCCAAATAGTGTGATAAACATTGAAACGATCTCGATGAAAGAGACAACAGATTCGAAATATTCCGAACTCCATCGCCGTCAGATTAGCAAACATGTTCAGCTTCAGTTTGTACGGATTTCCATTCAAGTTGGTGTTGAGATTGTGCTTCGCATTTTTCTCTAAAAAAATAGAATGGGCTTTGCATTCTCTCCGGATATTTAGAATCTTTTCCTCTTTCGTTAAGGTTGTACAATTTACTACCTTTAATAACATTGTGACGCCCGTAATTATTTTACGTTGATTTTTTAAATAGTTAAGCCGAAATCCAGATGAAGTGTATAGATATATCCCAATAAAAATTCCATTCTAATAACCTATCATCAACTTTTGAAAAACCCAAAATCTAATTAGCAGATTTCTCATACATGGTAATCAAGGAAGACATCATGAATAAATTAAACTGCATAAAAAAGAAACGAATGATACAAAGCAGTTCGAATTCTCTCAAAAACCGAGTATGGATTTAACTCCCCAAAAGCTTCTGCTCTAATCTTTCTTAAAATCTCAAAGAAAAAAAAATTTAGGTCTAAACAATAACTATGAAATCCTAATTATGTTCTAAAACACGAATGAAGCATTTTTGCAATTAATGAAACTTCAGGACAAAAACTGTAATTCTTCTTTTGTCTTTTAAATAAAATAGCGTGGCTTCCTCAGAAGTGGGTGACGAGCGTCACCCATTCATCAGTGATGATCGTCACATGGATTTCATACGCCTCCTTGTTGCTCAAGTCGAGAAGAACTCTTATTTTGCTCCATAATGCTCCAAAATCTCCAATTGTACTCCAAACGTACCTGAACTTGTAAAGACTCTGATAAGACTCTAAAAAGACCAAAATGACTCAATCAAAAAGACTTATATCATGGTTAAAAAATCCATAAAGAAACCATGATATATCACACTACAAGAAAACAGCCGATTTATGTCGGAAATTTGTGACGACGGGTTGTAGTTGCAAATTTGTGACGCATTTGCGATGGGTTTGCTAGAAAAAGAATATTTGTCACAAATCCGTCACAAATTGTGACAGCGCTGATGGTCGCAAATTCACCGCAGATTTGCAACGATATTGCGACGGAATTGCAACCAATAGGAGCATTTGTGACGAACTAAATTGGCTGTCGCAAAATATGTTGCACGTTGCGAGGCCTAGTGAGGAAATTGTACTGTCACAAAGTTGCGACGTATGTGCATGGATATACGCAAAGTAGGTGAACCACATTTTATTTAATTCTCACCCGCCTATCTAATTAGTTACGTAGTCGCAAATCACTAGGTTATCTGTCACAAATCCATCTCAAGTGAGTCGCAATAGTGTTTGTTGTCGTAAATCGGTCGCAGGTTTCCGTCGCGAGGCCGTCACAAAATTTCTGAAAGACTATAAATAACCTTTTTGAGTTAGTGAAAGAAAGAAAGAAAGAAAGAAAAGAGAGTAGTGTAAAAAAAAATTTAATGGATAGATTTGAAAAAATAGAAAAAAAAGAAAAGTGATAAAAAGATCAATATATATTGAGAGAATGTCTTTAGAGCATAATATATATGCGTTACAATCGTGGATATACAATCAACGAGATTCAGAGACTGACGAGGTGACAAAAGAGTTCCGGGATGGGTTTCGAGGGTTCTTATACCAAGCGACAAACCAATCATTTTCAAGGGAAAACGGAAAAATATTATATTCATGTAGAAAGTGCAAGAATGTGCCATATATAGAAATTGATATCGTGAAGAAGCATGTGTATAATAAAGAATTTATGTCGAACTATCACGTATAGTTTTTTCATGGAGAAGATAGTAATGTTGCTACGGGAAGTAGTAGTATGAGTCAGTATTTGGAGCAGCCCAATTATAATGCTAATTTTGAACATTATGGCAGAATATATTTGGAAATATAGATCAAGGGTATCAACAAGGGAATAGGTTTCATGATACGGTTGTAGATGCAATGCATGAAGCTCCAACAACCTCATTTGTTGATAATATTAGGGAAGAAACCAACGTAGATGCAAAACAGTTTTATAATATGTTAGATGCTGCTAATGAGCCTATCTACGATGGATGTATAGAAGGGCAGTCTAAACTTTCATTGGCATCTAGGATGATGACAATTAAAACTGATAATAATCTCTCTGAGGTTTGCATGGATTCGTGGGCTCAACTTTTCAAAGAGTACCTACCGGCTAATAATCTTTCGGGATGGGTTTTGAGGATTCTTATACCAGGCGACAAACCAATCATTTACAAGGGAAAATAGTAAAATATTATGTCCATATAGAAAGTGCAAGAATCTGCCATATATAGAAATTGATATCGTGAAGAAGCATGTATATAATAGAGAATCTATGCCGAACCATTACATATGGTTTTTGCATGGGGAAGATAGTAGTGTTGCTACGAGAAGAAGTAGTATGGGTTAGGATTTAGAGCAGCCCAATTATAATGCTAATTATGAAGATTATGGGCAGAATATGTTTGGAAATGTAGATCAAGGGTATCAACAAGGGAATAGGTTTCATGATATGGTTGTAGATGCAATGCATGAAGCTCCTGCAACCTCATTTGTTGATAATATTAGGGAAGAACCCAACATAGATGCAAAATGGTTTTATGATATGTTAGATGCTGCTAATCAGCCTATCTACGATGGATATATAGAAGGACAGTCGATACTGTCATTGGCATCTAGGATGATGACAATTAAAACTGATAATAATTTCTCTGAGGTTTGCATGGATTCGCGGGCTCAACTTTTCAAGGAGTACCTACCGGCTGATAATCTTTCTGCTGAGAATTATTATGAAATACAGAGGTTGGTTGCGGGTCTCAGCTTACCATCAGAAATGATTGATGTATGCATTGACAATTGCATGATATTATGGAAAGACAATGATGAGCTGCAGGATTGTCGATTTTGTGGGAAGCCGAGATATCAAGAAACTACTGGAAGAACTCGGATTCCATACCAACGTATGTGGTACCTGCCAATCACTGAAAGATTGAAGCGGTTATACCACTCAGAAAGGACGGCGTCGGCAATGAGATGTCATACAGAACATTTCACAGAGGATGGAGAGGTTACACATCCTTCAGATGCAAATGCGTGGAAGCACTTTCAGACGGTATATTCAGACTTTGCTAGTAAGGTTAGGAATGACTATCTTGGTTTATGTACTGGTAGATTTACTCCATTTGGTATGTCTTGGAGATAATGTTCTCTATGGCCTGTCATCTTGACACCATACAATCTTCTTCCGGATATGTGCATGCAAAGAGAATTTTTGTTCATAAGTATTCTAGTTCCTGGTCCTAAGTATCCAAAACGCGCACTTGATGTATTCTTACAGCCTCTTATTCATGAGTTAAAACAGTTATGGTATTCGGGTGTTCGCACATTTGAAAACCCGCAGCAACGGAACTTCAACATGCGTGCATTGTTATTGTAGATTATCAGTGACTTTCCAGTGTATGAAATGTTTTCAGGGTGGACAACGCATGGAAGATTATCTTGTCCATATTATATGGATATGTCAGATGCGTTTCAACTAACGAATAGAAGAAAGCCATGTTGGTTTGATTGTCATCGTATATTTCTTCCGTTGAGTCATGCATACCGGAACAACAAGAGGTTGTTTAGGAGGAACAAGGTTGTGTGTATCCCTCCCCCCCCCCCGTTTATCCATCAGACAATGATTTGTATGAGCAAATTGAACACTATGGTGCTCAGAAAACGTGTTAAATAGGGGGAAATTGGCACACACCAGCCAACATGCCTGACAGATATATTGTATCTCATAATTAGCACAAAAAGAGTATCTTTTGGGAGCTTCCTTATTGGCAGAATCTCCTTCTCTGTACTTAGGTTTTGCTTGCTCTTAAGCAAACAGAAGACTAAGAACAGAGTCGAGGTTTGAAAACGCGGGAACTCACCTTCTCTGTAGATCATTTTACTGACTGCTGTAATCCACACACTACAGTAACTAAACGAAATCGAACCACCATGTACTTATTCTTAGACATTCACAACATCCCAAATTCAACTCATAAATTCACAGGATTATCAAATAATCATCATTGCTAAACCTCATTATCAGTCTATATATTCAATAGCCTTCTAGATTCATTCTCATACTATATCTTAATAAATTAGCACTGCAATCAATCAACCTTTGGTACTCTTTCTCTCACAT